ATTTTCTACCTTATTTTAGTCTATATAAAAAATATTTAATCCTTTTATGCTTTGTTTTTGCAAACAGATGAAGTATTTTTTTTTATGTAAGGTGCTAGACAGTTCTGGTCATTTTCTTCTTTGAAGGTTGCTTGTGTCCATTGTTATTGCAATTGCAATGAAAATGTCAATTGTATGCAACTTCTAATTGCTCTAACCCTGTATTGCTTTGCCGTATTTGCTGTTAAAAAAAGTTCAAACATGTAACTCGTCAATCACAACCTCCATCGCCTCTGCCCTACTCGCCAAGTATTTGTTTACAGTAGAGTGGACGCTGATGCTGTGATTCCTGTAGAAAAGATTGCATAGCTTAGACTACACTGTACAGTGTGTAAAGAAGAGAGGACCAAGATCCAACCTTTCCTTGCTCCTCTAAGAAAATGCGAGGAGTCCCGATCTAAGAAAGAGGGGGACTCAGAGAGAATCTAAAAGAGAGGAGTCCCCTGAGGCAGTTGATGAATTTCTTGATTTGGGTGATGCTTAGACTTTTTCTCTTGGAAATTGGCTAAACAAGCAGTGACGAATGTGACAGAAAGGGATAGAGAGGCTGTTAATGCAATGAAGAGAGCTAAACTTGCAGAAGCTCGAGAGCACAATGAAGCAGTGCTATGAGAATCTGCAATTGCTTTCACTCCATATTCTGAGAATTTTGGGGAGAATTAAAGAACTATCATTAGTACAGGCCAAGAAACCGACATTGACATATGTTGAAAAAGAAAGTTACTACAAAGGATAGATTGAGAAAGAGGCTTTTGAATACTCGTGCAAGGGATTCTTCAAGCAGGCAAGTTACACAAGGTGAGGATTCAAAGTATAGAGAAGCTTTTGGGACCTGTTAGAATTAATATAAAACTATAATCCTCGATCCTCACCATAACTTCGAAGTTTTGGTATAATGGTTAGAGGAACTAAATTTAAGATGGTATCAGAGTAACCCAGGTTTAAATCCCACCGGCCACGAATTAAATGCTGATTTTTTAAAAATTTACACCGCTACCTGAGTTCAGGTTTCGACCCATAAAAATGGGTGCTCAACCTACGGAGGCATGTTAGAAATAATGTAAAACTATAATCCTCGATCATCACCATAACTTCGAAGTTTTGGTGTAATGGTTAGAGGAACTAAATTTAAGAAGAGCCAATGGTAGCGGAATTCATTTTCTCATTTATTGAAATATATGTTCTTTCAGGTATTGAAGTCAAAGACTTTACCTTTTTTTTATTAATTTCCTCTCAAGCTTGTAGGTATTGTGTAGAAAAGGTAATATTTTCTTTGTTCATTTTTTGATTCACGAGGCAAATATTTGTCTTCGTTCTTCTTCCTTTAAGTAAACTAACATTACATCTTTCATTTCTGAACTCGTGAGAAACTAACAAAAAGTGATATAGATAGAAGGGAATATTTGCCGTGAGTCATTCTCGACATGGAGAATGATCAATATTCTTCCTGGGCGGAATTGTTCAAGACCATTGCTCGAGCCTATCAAGTCATTGAGCACATCATTCCCCCCCATCACCGCTGCCGAATCCTCTGACTTTGACGCTGACGACGGCAACAACGCCGCAGACAAAACTGCCGACACCACTGTCGCCAAGACTGCCAAAACCTCCGCCGACGATGCATCGGCCTGGAAGCATTTGGATGTCGTGGTCCTCCAATGGATCTACGACACTATCTTCAATGATGTATTGCACACAATCATTGAGCCAGACTCAACGGCCCAACAGGCATGGGATCACCTTGCCGATATTTTCCAGGACAATAAAAATTCCCGGGCCGTCTACTTGGAAAATCAGTTCACCAACGGTAGTAAACTAACAACAGTACGTGGCGAGACGGATTTTTCGTTATTTCTACCTCGTCCTTCAACGACCGCGGCCGCGCTGACTGCCATAGTGTTGATTATGCGGCGGGTTTGCGGCCTGAGAGGCAGCATGTACGGCTGAGTGATTACGGCTGAGTGATTTGTGGTGCGGGGAGGGGGGTTTGCTGAGGAGACTAAGGTAGCAGCGGATGAGGATCCGGCCTGGTGAGCTTTGCGGGTCTCCTCCAAGGTGACCATGGAGCGGGCTTTGTAAAAAGGAGGGAGAGGTTCCGTTTGTTGAATTAAAGATGCAACGGTGTCATACTGGGCCGGGAGTCCGTTGACGAGGCGAAGAACAAGGCGGTGGTTGGTGATAGGCGCACCGACGTTGGCAAGTTGATCAGAAAGAACCTTCAAGGCACGACAATAGGCAGAGACATTCGAAAAATTCTCAAGGCGGGTGTTGGTGAACTGATTTTCCATGTAGACGGCCCGGGAATTTTTATTGTCCTGGAAAATATCAACAAGGCGACCCTATGCCTGTTGGGCCGTTGAGTCTGGCTCAATGATTGTGTGCAATAGATCATTGGAGATAGTGCTGTAGATCCATTGGAGGACCACGACATCCAAACGCTTCCAGGCCAATGCATCGTCGGCGGAGGTTTCGGCAGTCTTGGTGGTAGTGGTGTCGGCAGTTTTTTCTGCGGCGTTGTTGCCGTCGTCAGCGTCAAAGTCAGAGGAGTCGGCAGCGGTGATGGGGGGAATGATGTGCTCAATGACTTGATAGGCTGGAGCAGTGGTCTTGAACAATTCCGCCCACAGTGGCGTAGCCAGGATATTTTTTTGCCCTGGGCGAAAAAATAAGCTTGGCTGACGATGAATCCTAAGGCGCAAACATCGGCGAAGGAGATGTCTCATCCTCCTGCTCCTCCGTCGTCGAAGTCGGCACAAAATCTAGCTTTGAGCGGGGAAGCAAGGAGAAGCTCCTTGAGCTCGGCCGTGGCCGTCGAGGGGCTCCTCTCATCGGAGTCGACGACGGGCCTCCAGAAGTCGACGACGGGGCTCCCCGATTTCACTTTGTTGTCCTAGGTGGAGCATGAAACTATATCTAGAATATAATTATTTAAAGGGTATGGAAATCTCACAATTAGTGAAGTTAAAAATTGAAATATTGTAAGTAACATGTGACATATTCTAGTGATGCGTGTGGCAATGCTCACTCACTTGATGCATATGAATAAAGTAGCATATGATGAATAAAACTACTAGTTTATGAAACAAAAAATCCAAAACGTGACTTGTCTAACTTATGTAATGACAAAATAGAAGTAGAAAGGATTGCAATCTCGCTTTCTATAGTTCACTAGCACGTCCTTTACTATTTTTTTCTCTTTTTTTTAGCTTAGCTTTTTGTAATATCCCCCTCCCCCAAGAACACAATTTTTCTTGCCCTGGGCAGCTGCCCAGGGCAAGTACCATGTGGCTACGCCACTGTCCGCCCAGGAAGAATATTGATCATTCTCCATGTCGAGAATGATAGGGATGAAATTTTTGATGTTTGATACGGCCAACGCCGGGTGAAAGGGAGAGGTTTTGGTGCTTGGAGTGGCCATGGAATTGCCGAAGAAGGGAAATTAAGAGGGTTTGGAAGAGGTAGGAAAAAATAGCTTTGATACCAATATAGAAGGGAATATTTGCCGTGAGTCTTTAGTGTTTCATTACTCACAATGTATAGTTATTTACAAAAGCAAAATAGGTAAGAGTTACAAAAGGAAACTCCTACACTAACCATATGAGGAATCCTATACAAGGTAACTAACCATATGAGTAAACCTATACAAGGTAAATATCAATTAGATATTATGATAATAAATGCTAAGAATATATTCTATATTCTAACAATCAATTAGATATTATGACAATAAATGCTAAGAATATATTCTATATTCTAACAGATATCTACACTGGATCACGGTGATGGAAATTTGTATAAATTCATGAATGTTGTGCTAATACCAATTTCCTACTGTATCACATTATGAAATATGTCTTTGAAATGTTTGAGTGCAAAAGTGATTTTTACAGCCGATATGAGCATTCAACCGAATGTTGTTTCGTTGGACCTCGGGATACTGTTGAAATCTTCTGGGTCAGCTTTGTTATAGGGAATGAAAACGAATATGATTTAACAAGAGTTGCTCTAATCTGTGTGATTCAATTTGGGATCAACAAAATTTTGTGTCAGTTCAAGTGTAATTTTAAATTCTGATCAGTAACAGATTTTGGAAACCCATTGGAACCTTAGCAAAATGCCGATGAGCATGTTGAATATCAATTAGCATTTTGCTGGGAGTTCTTTCAAGAGAAAAAACAATTCCATTACTTGAAGTACATCCCTTGGATGCTTACTCGGCATATTCCCCCCCTGAATGGATTTCATTTGAATGCTAGTATGAGCTAGTGGTCAATTCTCTTAACGTTTAACTTCTTTCATTAGTTATATATTCAATTACTTTCATTTCAATATATTGAAAACTGAATACATGTTTACTTGAGATTATCTATGTCGCATGGGTGAAATATTTTCAAATTTAAGTGATTACTTAAACACGTTCGTTTGACATAAGAGAATATTTTTTTCTTCTCTAGTAATATAGAAAAAACGATGTCTTGTGGGAAAGGCATCTAACCTTCCTCAGCAAGGAAATTTCAATATACTCCTAGGAATTCATGACAATGTTTGACTTAAGGCTAAGGATAAATTCAACAATAGAATGATGTAATGCTACCATAAACCAAATATTTATTTTATTTTGTAGCAAGAAAATTATCATACATCCTTCATCCGAGTGTATCCTCCAGGACCACCATAACGAAATTTGTAACCATCTGGATACCATGAGTCATAATTTCCATCAATACCATAATAGTCAGGTTTAGTAGATCTCAGTCTGACTCTGTTAGATTTTGGACTGTAAAGCTGATTTCTTTTATTTACTAACTTAATATTCAGAAAATAGCATGTCCTATTTGGACCTTCGTAAGGCATATGACCACTTCCCATGGGAGGACTAGGTTCATTGTAGGGAGAGTAAGCTGCACCACCATAATCAACCCTATTAGGTTTCTCTAAATTATTGAAAAGCTCCTTTGGCCAATATCCCACTAGTGATCTTTCTTCCCCATAGGTTAACCACCAATTTCCTTCTTCTGGATCCTACAATGAGAAGGACAAAAAATAAGAGTTATTCCCCCCACTCCACACACACATAAAAACCATGTATTATAGGGGTGTAGCTATTCACCATCCCTATTCTATTTTACCAACATAAAGATCATTTTTGTGATGAAGTTATTTCTCATCTGTTTTTAAACTCATCTAGTAATCATGAGAGAATTTTCTTACAAAAAATTTAATGTGGTCAACACTTGATTTCCACGAGCTTGAAAACTTGAAATTTAGCTATCAAACTTCTTTTTCAGACTTAAATTTATAGACATATCACTTCCAATATACTAATCAATGGTACACAAAAGACTTTAAGAGTTTGTTTGGCAAACTCAGTAGACTTGTTTTAGTGAGTACAGAATAGGTGTGCTTGGCCATAGTTTGGCAAAGTAAAAAAAGTGTAGTAAACTAGTTCTTTTGAGTCCAATTTTGCTCAATAACTAGACTAAAAACAAACCAATACAACCTTGGTCCAAAAGAGAACTAGGTGAGAATGACCCAAATATGTTTTAGTCTAAAAATTTTCCAAACTAAGTTATAAATTAGAACTAGTTCTATAAAGTCTAGCTTAGACTAACTTAGGCCAAGTGGAGTTGGTTCAAAAGTGAATTAGGTTATTTTCAAAGTTGACAAATAGAGCCTAAGATAAAGATAAACTATCAGATCAACCTATAAAGTGTACCCTATTTCAATAAGGCTTAAAAACTAACACCGAAAATAATAATAAAACATAAAAACTTACATAGTAAATCAATAATGCCTATTCCCATTGTTGGATTTTTAATTTGAATGGTAAAATTAATTGTTAATGATATTTGTAGCAAAAAGAAAAAAAATATCAACACATTCTCTCTCCACCATCTTCATCATCATCGTCCCCTTCCCTTTCCCACTTTCTCGCCTCTTTCCTCCACCCCAAGATCCTCATCCTCACCTCCTTCTCTCCCTCCTTCTCCAATCTTTCCCATCTTCTCACCTTCTCTCTCCTCTCTCATCACACTCTCCTCCTCCTCTCCCATCTTCTCTCTTTTCTTTCCTCAAACATTTAAATTTGAAGGAAAGAGAAGTGGGTGAGGAGAGAGGTTGAGAAGATAGGTGATGTAAGTGGAGTGGGGGAGAGAGAATTGGTGTTTTTTTTGCAAATATTTAAATTTGAAGGGAAAATCAGTAAGTGTGAGAGATTTGAGGGGTATATATGAAAAATTCTTAATTTTTACGTTCAAATCAAAATTTTAATGATGGAAATAGGCCTCGTAGTTAAGTGCGCCAATTTAGAACTTATTATTGTCAGCGTCCGTTTTTAGGTCTCATTGGAAAATGAGAGTCACTTTATAGGCTAATCGAGCTTCAATGAAGTTTGTTGTTGAGATGAATTTCCCAAAGCCAAGTTAATTCGCTATTGTTTTACCTTGAAGATACTTATGTCAATGGATTTTTGAATCCCACCATAGGTAGAAAGCTGGGTTATTTCCATTCCAGGACTAAAGTCGCGAGATACAACCATAAATCCTTGACAATGGAGATTGTAGCAACCTGTGTCATAACCATCAGCCTGTACACATATTTAATCAATTTTTGTTAATCCCCAGCTAGTAACAAACTATAATATTTATGAAACCAAGAAAAAAAAAATTTTAGCTTTTAAGTTCAAAGTTAGACATAATTCATAGATCATACCGTCCAAAATGTAGATAGATGGGTTAAATAGTCACCATATAAACTCGGATATACCTAGATTATTAAAAAAAAGTAGAAAACATATTTAGAGGAAATTCAAGTGAGTTTCTATTTTTATTTAAACAAACTGCAGATATTATAATCTGAGTAAGTTAAATAATACAGTTAATTGCTTACGTTCCATCCTGCTTGTATAGCGTTTACTTCATCTAATGGTCCAGCAGCACCTCCAAGAACCCATATTTGGCTTATGGTGCTTTGATCAACTTTGATATTTGGAAAACCATAAACAATAAGCTTTGCACTTGCTCCGTAATATTCACCAATTGTAGTTTTCATAACTGCATACTATTTAACAACAAATTCATTAGAAAACAAGATGAAACGACTTAGAAACAAAGATTTGTCATATTAATGCAAGTTGTGAAACACTTCATCAATTTTTTACAATATGATGTTCTTGTAGGTAAGCAGTTTTTATCAATAGTTTTGTTTGTTCACGTGTAAACTGTTTAAATATTTTTGTTTCCCTAAGTAAAGATGTTTTGTTCAAACTAAGATTCTTAATTATCATAGTTTCCTCATAAATAAATGTTTAATATTTCATTTAAGTTTTGCAGTACTAGGAGCGGTCTGAATGGTGCAGAATAGCGGGCAATTTTTGAGTTGCTATCTTGCGCCCCCGCCGAGTTCTTGATGGCTAAGAAGAAGAAAAATTGTGGGAAAAAATCTTAGAAATTGGATTGAGAGCCTCAAAATTGAATCTAATGTCCTCTGGAGATCATTCAGATGCTTGTTTTGAAGAAGATGATGAAGATTTTATAGTCATGGGATCAACTGGTCCAAGAGGAGAGAAGAAATCAAAATCAATGGAAATTCTGCAATTCCTAGTCAAGATCGAGCTGCTCCTCCTCTGTCAGGAGTTCAAACTCGTCAACTTCGTAAATGTCCCCTATCTCATAATGGATCTAGTAGTTCAGCTCAGGTTTCTTGGGCGGATCAGATGGAAAATGGAAAAGATTCTTCTAATTCGTCTTTAAACCAAGAATACCAGTTGGAATCGATATATGATACTAGCAAAATTCCATTGAATTCTAAACTGGTTACTGAGGGGGTTACTGTTCCATTGAATCCTAAAGAGAGTAATATTAATGTATTATTTAATGATAATTTGGAGTTGCGTACTATCTCAATTGGTGGAATTTCTAATGAGCATTCTGATTTTCCCCCTTTGGAATCTTTAAATAAAATCCATGCCTCTCCCAAAGGGGGAAAAATTGGAAAAAGCTGGGTTAGCTTCTTTCTGACAATAGAATGCCAGGATGTGGAATGGATTTGAACTATATGCCCACTGAAGCTAAGGATGTAGTCACTTTCAATGATGAAGAATGGAATGAGGGTGTTTCAATTTGGCAATCTTCTCGAATTGGTCAAGTTATGGGTTTAAATGTTAAATTCAAGGCGATGGAAAATTATGTGCAAAGAGTCTGGAAACATATGATACCTGAAGTTTGCTTGCTCAAGCCTGGTTTATTCCTATTTAAATTCAAGGGAAAAGAATAAATGAATGAGATCTTGAGTAAAGGACCTTGGTTTCTTGGTTCTCAACCTCTTTTATTGAAGTCGTGGTCTAGTGGTGAAGAAATTGACAAAACAAATGAATATGGTTATCCTATGTGGATACAACTTCCTGTAGTTTTGAGACTTAACCTATGGATTGCTAAAAGCATTAGTAAAATTGTTAGTGTCATTGGTCGCCCCATTGCAACTAACAAGTTAACTACTAATAGGAAGTTAACATGCCTTCCCCTCTTCCAGATCAAATCACCATTCAAGATCCAAAAAGGGAAACAATTTAATCAGAAGGTGTTATATGAACTAAGGCCTAGATTGTGCGATTTGTGTAAACAAGTAGGACATGACACAAAATTCTGTAAAAGACATCCTAGGACTCAAAGATGGATTCCTAATCAAAATCCAATACATGGAAATGTTGAGAAGGAGAGGGATCTCACTAAAAAGGATAGTGTGCATGAAATCTCTGGTTCTCATGAGCAGGAGAGGAATCACCAAATGAAAGGTATAAATGTTAGCCTCAACATTGGTGACCAAAATTCTAGGCATGAAGGTAATGACCAGCAATTGAACTTGGATACTAGAGGAAATGTTGTACTAGATCAGCTTCTGGTGGGTAATTCTCTAGGTAAAAGTCTGCATTGTCATCAGAAAGAGTATGGAGGCTTACAAGGATCATCTAAGATAAATACTAGGTAGCCGGTTATGCACAAGCCTATGCACGTTGTGCATGCTGAGCATGCCAGTTCTGGTGATAAATTTAATTTTAAACGTTCCCCTCAAGTGGATAGCTCATGGATTCATGTTCAAAAAAGCATAAACAATAAGGCTACTATTCCTACCAACACATTCTCATACCTGGATATATTAGATATTGATCCCTCTACTATTGATAGAGGGGGGAGGCCATGATGCACCTATCATTCTGGAATGTTAGAGGATTAAACAAATCCTCTAAACAACATTTGGTAAAGCTTTTCTTATCAAAATATCACCTCTCTTACCTAGCTCTACTTGAAACAAAGATTAGTGGTAGTATGTTGTTGGTTATAGCCAAGAACTTTGCTAAAAACTGGAGATGGCTATCAAATGTCAGTAGTCCTAGAAAAGCTAGAATTTTGATCATTTGGGATCCAAATATCCTTGATATCCAAATTATCAATCTATAAGATCAACATATTACTTGCAAAGTTAAATCCTTGGATGGCAAATTGGATTGTGTTATTACTTCAATTTATGGGTATAACAATTTAGAGGCTAGAAAGGATTTTTGGTTAGAATTGAAGATTAACACCAATCAATAGGGAATACTCCATGGCTCCTATGTGGTGATTTCAACACTTTAATCAGTAATGAGGAAAAACTTGGTGGTTCTATCCTATCAGATCCTGACATAAAGGATTTCAGGGACTTTATTGATGATTGTCATTTAAATCATCTAAAGACTACAAGGTGCTTTTATACTTAGAATAACAAGTAAGACCATGTCTCTAGAGTGTGGAGCAGGCTTGACAGAGCACTGGTGAATGATTCATGGGTTCACATGTACACCTCTAGCCAGGTAGATTTTTTACTTCCAAGCTTTTCTGATCATTCCCCTGCATTGGTGTCTGTATATGATGATTGTTTAAAGGGGAAAAGGCCATTCAAGTTCTTTAAAATGTGGACCAAGCATGATTGATTTCTTCCAATAATTTCCAAATTCTAGCAATCTAAGGTAGAAGGATATAAAATGTTCTCAGTTTGTAAGAAACTCAAGTAGTTGAGGGGTCCTCTTAAAGATATTAACAGGAAACACTATCATAATATTAGTGAACAGGTACAGAGAGCAAGAAATGCACTTGAAAAAGCTCAAGGAAATCTTCATATTAACCCCTTCAATCCAGATTTTATCAACAACGAACGAGAATGTATTGCTACCTATAACAAGCTCCTGGATTGTGAATTGTTATTTTTTTAGCAAAAGGCTAGGATTAATTGGAGTGTTCAAGGGGATAGGTGCACTAGCTTCTTCCACTCAGTAATTAAATCTTATAGGCATCATAATAAAGTGTTTGTGCTCTATAATGGCTTGGGGGAAAATAATCTCTGACCAGGATGAGATTGCCAATGAATTGGTTTCTTTTTACTACGATCTTATGGGAACTGCTACTGATACTCTTATTCCTAATATTAATACCACCCAGTCTGGGCCCTGTTTGAATGAAACACAAGCTAAAAATCTGTCCAGTCCAGTTTCAAAAGAAGAAATTAAAAATGCAATCTTTTCAATAGATGATAACAAGGCTCCTTGGTCATGATGGGTTTGGTGTAGCTTTCTACAAATCAGCTTGGCCTGTAATTGGGGAGAAGGTCACATTAGCCATTGAGGAATTCTTCAAGAATGGGAAATTGTTGGGGATGGTTAACTCTACATCCATTACTCTTATACCTAAGGTATATTGTCCAAAGTCCCCCTCTGATTTTAGACCCATATCATGTCGCAACTCCCTCTATAAATTTATTTCTAAGATACTGGCAAATAGAATAAAACCTGTTATGGGGGTATTTAGTTAATGAAGCCCAATGTGCTTTTGTCAAAGGCAGATAAATTAGAAGCAACATCTCATTAGCTCATGAGCTAGCCAAAATCTATAGCAGGAAGAATATTTTACCAAGGGTTATGTTAAATATAGATATAAGGAAAGCTTTTGATACAGTCAACTGGAATTTTTTGAAAGAAATGCTTAAAGGACTGGGGTTTCCTAAAGTGATGATTGACTGGATTATGGCATGCATATCATCCCCTAAATATACCATATCACTCAATGGTTCCCTCCAAGGTTATTTTAAGGGAGAGAGAGGATTAAGGCAGGGTGATCCCCTCTCGCCATATCTCTTCATTCTGCATATGGAGTATCTTTCAAGGAGATTAGATCAGTTAAAGAGTGACAGGTTATTCAGGTATCATCCAAAGTGTGGTAACCTCAAAATAACTCATCTTATATTTACGGATGACCTATTATTATTTTCAAAAGGGGATTTATGTTAAGTTAAAAAACTATATCAGTGTATCAGATATTTTAGTGATACCACAGGGTTTGAAGCTAATCTGGACAAATGCTCTATTTTCTATGGTGGGGGTGAAAGATTCTGTCAAAGGAGCTATAAGTAGCTTCCTGGGCTTCTCTGAAGGCATCATCCCTTTCAAATATCTGGGAGTTCCCCTCATTTGTAAAAGGCTTTCCTATGTTGATTGCAATCCTCTCGTTGATAAAATATCTAGCCAATTCCAGAAGTGATTAAAGCATAATAATCTCTCATATGCAGGGAGATTGCAAGTCATCAAAAGTGTAATTCTAGGAGTTCAAAATTACTTGACATCTAATTTCGTCCTGCTTGTCAAAGTTACCATGAAAATGGATGAGTTATGCAGAAAGTTCTTATGGGGTAAATCTGAACAATCATTTAGAGTACCTCTGGTTTCTTATATATGGAACCTTATATCAGCATTGAGAAGCATATGGTATATTCATGTTAATAAGGAATTTTTGTGGATTAAATGGATTCACGGTAATTACTTCAAACATTTGGATGTTTGGCATGTGAATGCTAGATCAGGGGACTCGTGGATGTAGAAGCAGTTGTTGAGACTCAGGGATAAAGCCTTGAATGTTTGTGGAGGAGTTGAAAATTTGAAGCAAATTCTTAGTTCATGCTACAAGAACTCTAAAATCTAGATATCTGCAGTGTATGTTGCATTCTCCCTTGTTACTCAAATGATGCTATGGTATAACACAGTCTGGGAGAAGATGAATTACCTGATGCATTCTTTTGTGTTTTGGCTTGCTGTTCAGAACAAGTTACTTACTCAGGATAGATTGATGAGTAGAGGGGTTATTAATGCAAATACTTGCTATCTATGTTTGGGTGCAGGTCTTGAGAGCCAAAATCACCTATTTTTTGATTGCTCCTTCTCAAGGGAAGTGTGGACTGCCATTATAGACTGGCTTAAGTTTGATTGGAAAGCTTGTGATTGGAGTATACTAATGAACTGGTTTAATTCCAGACTGTGAGTTAAAGGGTTCACACAAAATGCTAAAAGGATGGCAATATCGGCTACAATATACAATTTGTGGAAAGAGAGAAATGCCAGATTATTCAAGCAGAGATGTAGAAGTGCAGAACATTTGGTTAAGGATATTAAAATGGATATCTTAACCATATACCTAAACAGTACTATATTAGCTGAAAATAGAGATTTGCTTATCTCGCTATAAAGGTTAGATTGTCAATTTGTAATTAGCTTCTTGTTTAGACTTCTTAGTTTTGAGATCTTGATGTACATAAATTCTTCAATTGGTAAATGAATAAAAGATTTTTCATTGACCAAAAATTTTTTTTGTAGTACTTAGACTTTTCTTTGTAGCAGAAAGTATTTCATTAAATCTCCTTAATTAAATATAGAGGCTTTATAGCCATCATTATTCTTGAGGAAAAGTATAAAGTTTAACATTTCACTTTAATACACATAGTGACATGAAAATAGTAAAATATCTCTATCAATAAAACTTATGCTCCTCAATAAAATCAAGCTTCATGAAACACTATATCTGTTGACCATATTTTAAAAGTTGACAAGTACAACAAAATAATATCGTAAATAAAATGTAAGTTGATATTCTAAGCTAACTTAAATCATGTTAATATCAAGTTATTAAATAGAAAAGAAGATTACCTCGTAAGGTACTAAATGCCATTATCAGCCTTTTACAACTTATTTAGGCCATGAGTGCAAAAGTATTTCATAAAAAATTATAAATTTGTAAATTAACTTGCTGTAAATTTAGGTAAACGATTCAAAATGAAGAGGGCTACTCACATGGCGTCCAATTCCAATATTAGTTTTCTCTTTCTCTGTTGCGTAACTCGTAACATGTCTTTTGACATGATTTTGAAGAGTTTTGGCATGTATTAAATCATTCTTAGTAGTTCGGCGAATAAGAACCGTTCCACGTGGACAAGTGGTGTTCTTGTGCAAATTTGAATTAATGGTCATACCTTCAGGAAAACTGCTAGGTCTCATCTGCATTAAATAATTCCTTCTATCAGTTAATTCATTGAATAAAGAGAAATAAAAATGTCAAACTATTAAATAAATGAGTAACTAATAGATTTATTTCAGTAAAGATTATATGTGTTTAAGTAAACAAAGCCTCTTTCCTTGTTTTCCTAATATTTGTGAGTAAAAATTGTTCAACTTTAGCCAATTCCTAAACTAGTTTCATAATAAAAGTATAGGGTAAATAAGTTTTATAGCAATGTGACATTGGATAATTTTATACTTTTCCTACTTTCTAATTATAATAATAAATAAAACTCAATTCAGAAATATTCTACACCAGCTTCATAATATGTTGCTCAAAAATATAAACAAAGAATCTATAAATGTGACTTATTTTTTAATAAACCAAGATTACAAATCTATAAATGCTTCTCTTTTTATATATTGTATCATGTACCCTTTTTTTAGATAATAGAGTAAATTACACTTGAACACCCTAAAGTTTCTTCAAATTTCCCTTGAGTATTCAAAGGTTCAAAACTCTTCAGATAAATGCCTAGGGTTTCTCGACATATCTAGGAATTGAGAGAATAATTTTATACCACATATCTACTTTTTTAATCATGATTTGTTTCAGGCCTATTACCAATAAAATCTGTAATCATAAGTGTGTGAAGATTTTATTAATTTAATTTATTTAAGAAAAAATTTAATCTATTAAAAGGAAAATAATAGGAAGAGAGAATAATCTTATAATGAATATAGATCATAAAAATAATATTTTTTTGTCATAAATATGGAAGGAAAAATAGAAGAGAGAAATCTAATATGATGGAATACGACCAAATTAGATTTTGTTAAAGATCAAGTGAGAAATTAGTTGAAGAAAGCTAACCCTTCTCAAATATTAGTTTTAACCTTTTCTATGATGTTTTCAACTCCAAAATTACCCTCTAAGTTCAACCTATTTACAAATGTAGGTGTGGAAGGCCTATCAACCGCATAAACCCTTAAATTGTGGATTATAGAGCTAAATTTTAAATCTTTCTATTTACAGAAGATGACATCGGTACTCAAAAGGAGCACCAAAGCTGTTGGCTTATTTATAACCTCTCTCTCTCTCTCTCTCTCGTATTTATCTAATACACATGTGATTAACGAAAATTTTTTCAGAGTCTATAAAATCTCTTTTATGGTTAACATATATAAATTAGTTATACTGTAAAAATTCAACTAATAAATGGTATCGAGCTTAAAGAATTTTGTGATTTCATACCTGAAGTTTGTGATTTTTCAGAAGAGGATTATCAAACGCTGGTTGTTTGTAGATATCGATACAGTCATAAAAATGTCCACTTTGAGACTACAAAATATAAAAAAGGCTCCATCAGTAGTGTAAAAATGAATTTGAGTTGGTAAATCATAAGAAAATAAATGAAGTTCTATTATATTTACATTTAAAAATGTATTATGTTAAAAAAATTACATTTATACAAAGGAACAAAAATCTATAGTTATAACACTATAGTATTTATTCTATTGTGGTAAATAAATTATGGTCCAAGTTGATATAAGGAACAACATTTTTTCCCAAAAGGATGCAAAATGGAAATCGACTCAAACTCCATAGTCATAAGAGATAAAGAGTGAGGGACACCCATAAAAGAGTATTATTAAGTAGAAAAAGGTAAAAGGCTTTCTTTAGAAGTTAGAAGAGTATAATTAAATTTAAAAAGTAGGTGGTAAATATCATGATGAGAAAAAAGATTAACACAATTGGTATATATAAGAAAGTACATGAATGAATCGGTAAAAGATCTAAAATAATTGATAATTCTATAAATAAATTTTCGTACATAGGAAAAAAGAAGAATAGAAATATGGCAAGCAAGGTCGTCTCAAGCGTTTTTAGGCTCTAGGCAGAGAAAAATATTTGGGGCCTTAATATTTTATAAAAAAACTTAAATATTAGTCTTTAAAATATAGATTTTATATAAAATTTAATTTTCTTTCTTTTTGAGATGCAAAGTTATTAATTAAATTATTATATTTAAGCTTTGATAATAAATCCATTTCAATTGATAAAATTTCCAAATTATTTAATCTTTCTTGAGACATTGTAATGAACATACTATCATGTTTTTCTCCATTTGGTAATTTCGAATGTAATGAACAGAAATAAAAACACAAAATACAGAACATAGTAAATA